CCTAAAGTACGCAGATGACATTGCCCTCATCTTCGAAGATCAAAGCGAAGCACAAGCCCTGTTGAATAGACTGACCACCATCATGCCATTTTTTGTCATGCGCCTTGTACTTTCGAAGTGCAAAGTCATACTCCAGAACCTGCAGTCTACGAACATATCCGTTACAATTCAGGGAGAATCACTGGGGGTTGTGAAAAAGTTTTACATACATGCGGTATTAGCTCTGACGGAAGTGTCTGGTGAAGTCGGTGCGAGAATCTCAAAGGCTTGAATCGCGTTTGCCACATTTGCGTCACTTGTGATGTCAAAAGGGAATATAACTAGATCTCAAGGGTCGCGTGTACCAGGCCACAGTAAGGGCTGTGTTGTATGGGTGCGAGACGTGGCCTCTGCGGACAGATGATGTGAGGCGTCACTAGGTATTTGACAACCGATGCCTCAGAAGCGTGGCTGGTTTTGGATGGAGTCAACGTGTTAGAAACGAGGTGATTAGAAAACGGTTATTCGGCTGTGCGGTAGATACTTCAATCGGGGGAAACATCCAGCATCATCGACTGCGATGGTTCGGTCATGTGCTACGTACACCGAAACACCGTCTACCAAGTGTTGTTCTCCATACCTCCTTCAGAATGGCGCAAACCGCGAGGCGGACAACACGTGACTTGGCAGAAGGGCGTGAAAGAGATCACGAGGGCTTTGGGTGCTGTTGGTGTTGTACGCCTTCCAGGATGGGGTCTCCGTGACCCCGTCTGTGCTTGGCTGGAGACATTGCAAGAAATGGCGGCTAATCGATGTCAGTGGCGTTCATGTTGTCAGGCTCTCTCCAGATTGGCTGATTAAGCTCTTGAGGGTGTAGGAGCCTCAGAACGCTTGACACAGGCCAGCACTAGGTCCCCTCCCTTACCCACTCTTTTTCCCTTCTTTTTACTCTAGGGCTTTAAATATAATTAGACGAACCTTATGGTTGTACGGCAGAGATGCATCAGTGTCAACAGATGTTGCTGTCTTTGATGATGGTGATGATGATGACTAGGGAGAGTCTTAACATTCTTCACTGCGAGTTGTTAAGTAACCCTGTTCAAGGATGAATGGAGATAAAATGAGAGAATAATTGAGACTGATATTTTCTGTGGCAGTATCCTCTCTTCAAAACAAGACACTATCAGGACTCGACAAAACTGTGGTATTCTGAGGGCAAACTCTATTCTGGGACAAAATCAAGCTCTTGTCGAAAAGTCACATTACATAAATTTGGTAGACATTTTGAAAATTTAACTACCTGTCATATACAAAAAGATTACACAACGTCCGCCATATTACGATAGGTACCACTTCATAACGCACACGAAATGCTTTCGCTATGCATTGTGGAAGAGAGATAGTTGCTCGACATTAAGCAGGAAATACCTTTTAGTGGCGGTAACGACTTGATTGCACAACTGTTTGGTTATGGAAGACAATAGGTGTTTTTTTCAAAGGCATGTTCTCCAATACTTGACGCAAGCATCCTCTGAAAAGTGCCATCGAGTTACACGTCGGGCGAGTGAGCCAGAGCAAGCTGCTTCAGTTTCTTGTCAAGTTTAGTGGCTCCACTCTTTATCGAGGTGAACGAATATTACGGTTCTCGAAAGGATTCGAGATTATATGACGTGTTTGGTGACAAAAACTGGCAATTCAAGCAATAGGTGACTGTATCGTTATCTGGGGAAAGGAGAATCACCGCAGTGTTGAGAACGGCAGTGTTCGGTCACACTTCAGTCTTTCAGAACGCTGTTCAAGATTATTTTTTTGATAGCACAGATGTCTTTTGTCCTCACCGCAAAACAGAAACAGCGAATGTTATTCCGTGATGGAAACTTCAACTTTTGTACGCCGACCGAAGGCTGACTTGTGACGACGAAACTGTGGTTGAGAGCAGCAATAAACAATTTTTTCAGAGGCACAGACTACATGTCACCAGAAACGGTGGTCTACACAAATGGAGACACAGTTCTAATCCGCCGTAATCCTACATGCGTCTTTAGACGTTGAAAAATTACGCGTATGATGAGTAGGGTTAGAAGCGTACAAGACATGACACGTATTTTCAGTGGTAAGCATACTGTCATTTCTTCTTCGGGATGCAAAGCTAAATTGTCTGCTGCTTTTTGGGAAATACACGTCGAGTGAGGTTCACAAGGGAAACTGGGTTGGTCCCAATAACGGCGTCCTACTTTGATATGATGATCAGACACGTTTCTCTCGTTGCTTCTCCAAGACGTAGGTATCTTGTTCTTCATCGCTTTGCATAGAAACAGGGCGTCGCACATCGCTTTCCACTCTGCATTAAGACGGCAGTGAAGCATCAGTACCAACACTGATGTTGCTGTCTTTGATGATTCTTCATCAAGGGATCGCGTTTATTACTGAGTTATTATTGTCGACGATGGTACATCAGCATCAGAGCTCATGTAGCTTCTGTGAATAAGGTTGAAGGCATAGGGATTTCCAATATGTACCACGGCGTGCCGGAGTGCGGCAAAGGCAAATAGAATGTTTGTCAACTGCTTCGGCCGTTCGTAAACCAGTAAGCCACTAAGAAACACGTCGTTCAGCCGTTGGACCCTTTCGGTGCCTAGCGGCCATGCCACCCGAAGGTTGCACGGAGGCTGATATACTGCCAAGTTGCCCAAGCCTAGACAGAGGAGGTCGAGAGGCAGAGGTCGGGTTCGAATCACGGACCTTCCGGTCAGCAAATTCGCGCTCTAACCACTTTGACCATTTCGCCTCAAGAAACATATGGAAACGGGTTTTCTAAAGCATAGTTCTTACAGAGCGGATTTACTGACCGTGAATCGAACCCGGAAGTAGCCTAGCCCTCGTGCTTCCTTCGGGTGGCATGATAGCTTGGAACCGAAAGGGCTTTACAGCTGAACGATTTGTTTTTATTATCATTTACTTTATTGCTGTACAACAACGAGCTTTGCCAGCCTCTTCATGCCCTCATCACAGACTTCACGAAGGTTTTCCACTCCACCAACCGGGGATTATTGTGGACGGTTCTTTCTGAATGCGAATGCTTACAAAAATTCACCAACATCGCCAAAACGAGGGAAGTAGAGCGAATGAGTTGACTTCAGATGAGCCCGATACCCTCATCAGCGTAAAACAGGTGCTTTCCTGCCCCTATCTTTAATCTCCATCTAACGGTTATTGTGGATGCGGTTTTTTGAACGACGATGATGGTGTACAGCTCGGGTATCGGATTAATACACGTCTGCCAAATATAAGACGTTTTGGTGCAAGAAATCTGATCAAGGCCAGCATTCTTGTTTGTTCGCACATACGCATGAACTGCAGCGCCTAACTGAAAAGTATGCGACTGTTTCTTCGCAGTTCGGCCTGAGCATCAATGCGAACTCTCATTTTTCTCCAAACCGCGCCAGGTAGTCAGACTGTTTCTTCGCAGTTCGGCCTGAGCATCAATGCGAACTCTCATTTTTCTCCAAACCGCGCCAGGTAGTCATCAACACTCCTGAGCGCATCAAGACTGGGACGAAGTTTGTGGACATCTGCACGGACTTCTGCCACCTCGGATGACCGCCAACCGTGAGCTGAGATACTGTGTTACCAAGGCTAGTGTGACTTTTGGCAAACTTGAGGAATCAGAAACTGCGAATAGCTTTCAAGTGCACTGACTGCAGCATTGGACTGGACAAGTGCCAGACATGAAGGATCTACCGGCGGATACACCGTGATGGAGACTACACTCAAGTCCAACCGTCTACGATGGTTGGGATGTCTGCCAAGTGCAACGAATGCCGATAAACAAAGGCCTCGATACCTGGGAACATAAGCCGTAAGTTTAAAAGCCACTGACGATGGACTGGTGTCCGTCAATTCAATTTCCAGCCAGCGGACTGAAGCCAACAGGATGCACGAGTATCGCCAGAGCTGTTGGATCAGGAAACCAAACTAGCTGGATTTGCAGCGACTGCGGTTGTGCCTCTGCTGGTCGCATTGGATTTGTCGACCACCAGATGACAGTGATTCATCGACGACAGATCGACCTTAGCTTTCTGAGGTTACCAGATGACATGGCCTGAGACAGCACTGGAAGTGACTTTCCATGACAATCACCGTACAGACAAAAAATCACGAAAATGCCTTAGCACACTGCCAAGCCAACTGTCAGCAAGACCCTGCCTTATTGCCTTAGGTAATCTGGAACCCCAAGACCACAACGATGTCAGAAGTGACTTCAAGTGGCCATCGTTTTACAGATAAGCTACACGATGCGTGTCTTTGGCGCGCCTCATGTTGTACGGGCCAGCAGACAACCTTTTACATATGCTGTGTCAACTGCTCTAAACCACTGCGTTGCCAGTGCGTTAGTACTCCTTACTATCTTAGGTTCACTTTGTAGTGTACTGACTCGAGTTTCGATTTCTTTTCCTAATTATGAGTAAAGCCTATAACCGACTGCAAAGATCCGCTCAGGAAATTCTGGTGTTACGACGATGTTAGGGGCGACTGACAACCGTATAAACCAAGCTGAATGGTGGTTAGCATGTGTTTTCATCATGATCATCATCACTATGATGATCAACAATACATCAGTGTACAAAACGGATGCTTAGTTGCTATATATCCATAATTTGTTTCAAATCCTTAGTTTAAAGAAAAGAATGAAACTGAGTGGGGGAAGGGTTTATTGCTAGTCTGGCAGTCAACTCGGAGTGTCTACACGTCCAAACATTCATCCAGACATTCTGCATAGAAACTGACAAGACCAATGACATTGACCAGAAGCCGCAATTGTAGCTTCTAAAACTATGCACAGGGAGATTATACGGACCTCATTCTGGAGGTTGAGCCGCACCGACAGTACCCAGACTTCTCGAAGTCGACCTCACACACTCTGAACTGAGTAAAAAATGCAGCACTCTTTTCGGCAAATAGTGACTCGGCATGCAAAACACATAGACAAACCACCACAGCTTTTCGTCCTGAACATGTGTTTATATTAATGTCCTTGTTGTATGACCGAACATTCGCTTTCTAATTGTTCGACTGCGGATCGCTCGCAACAGCTCACACCTGGCCTCTACGTGAAAGGTATACGAAAGACCAGAGTGTTTGATGTCGATGGGACATATGCGATTTCCAGACCCAACAAACCACCAAGCCTTGAATACAAAAAAATCGAAATCGTTCAGCTGTAGCACCCTTTTGGTGCCTAGCTGCCATGTCACGGGAAGGAAGCACGAGGGCTGGGATACTGTCAAGTTACCCAAGCCTAGACAGGGGAAGTTGGGAGGCAGAGGTCGGGTTCGAACTACGGATCTTCCGGTCAATAAATCCGCGAAATCACCGACAAAAACAAGGGATTCAGTACTTACCAGGATTTTTAAAACGCGAACGTTGTCCACGTTGAAGTGTGACTTGTGAGGGAGAATAGAAACTGAAGACCGTCAGAATATGCTACGTAATAAGAACTCACTGCAGGCCTTTGTGATGAGTTCTGATAGGAAATCAGCCAATTCCACCTGCTTGCTCATAATGGCAGTTTTTATTACGCGTTTAACACTTCCCAAATCTCTCAAGTCCGCAACGCTTTCAACAACGAGCTCTGAACCACATGTGTACATTCAAGAACAACTGTTACCATCCAGAGTATCTAGTGCCTTGGTTCTTGCAAGTTCATAACCTTCCGTAACTTGTGTCACTGAGAGACCCTGAAAAAGCATGCCAAATAATATGTAGACAAACCATTCTCAAGAGATCCGTGGCCTGCTCTAGCAGAGAGCCAGCGAGCTGAAGAACAAAGTTAGTTCCATCTCCAGCCTCTTGCTCCTGCTGTTGCGTGGCCATAACCAGTATCTTTGCGGCAGGATGAGCCACTTCCAGTTCCTTTAGGATCGTTGCGGCGTCATTTGTGACGAATTGACGACCAATATGGTTTATTACGATTTTGTTCTGCCCCGCAGGACCGAAAGTCGTGCGAGTTGTTTTGGATAATGCTGCGCAAGCCTCAATGTTACGGAAAACGGCTTCCTCTAAACCCTCGAAGTACTTGAAAGTTCGTCAAAAATATCCTTCCACTTACTCGAGCACCCTCCTTCAACATCGACATAAAACCCGGGGCCTTTGGTACGTGTAACGCCATGACTGCGGTGTACTACGGACAAAAACGCGTTACCAAGACAGAGAAAATGCCCAGCGTGATAAATCAAGCACGGCGCTAATGTGTTTAGTCCAATCAGTTAGAAGCCAGATTCGCGGACTCAGGGAATGATACACAAGATCGGGACTTTTGCCCAAGTTTCCCGTGTCGGTTTTGTTCTTTTCGTTCAGCGGCTGTCGTTCGCCTGAAAGACACAAGTGATAAAAAGGTGTAGCACTGCTCTTTGTATTCTCAGCGCGGGGCAGTACGCTTGCGAGCGCGAGGATTCGCATAAATGTCTAGTAGTGTTTGAACTGGGTTCTAGAGGGAGCGTGGACAGAGGGCTCGATTTAGTATGTCATAAACCCTGGCCACAGCTTTAGGTAGCAAAGCTGAACACAATAAGGAGAAACTGGGCTGGTTTGAAATTATCCAGGAATTTACCTTATGAAAAAGTTCTGCAAGCAGTTCATTGTTTCGTCGTCATTATAAGTCTATTTCTTCATTTGCATGCTGTTCACATGTGATTTTGAAGCTGCTAATGGAATCAGATCCCATATACATGAAACATAAACCATTTCAGTCCAGAGTAACATTTGGCGGGGCTGGGACAAAGCCAATGATTACAAAAGTCTCTGGCTCGAGCAGAAAAGTGCTCACCACCGCGACTGTACTGCCTCAAAATTCAGTGCGCTGAGGCCTTCTCAGGGATGAATTACTTTTGTTTTCTTCGGTTGAATGATCCCACATATATATGAGTCGTTTCCATTGAAGCGGACGATTTCGAGTCACCATAAAAGATACAAAAATGATTGCATATGTCGGTCGTTAGGTCACCTTGGATGCTTCAATAAGTTCACTGCTTATTTATCGGCCACCGCAGTGAGAATGATTTGATCTGCAAACTATCACATCCTCTTCGCAAGTGGTGCATGTACTACGGTTCGGCCTAACGTTGTCATTACGGAATAGAACTAGAGAATCTGGGTCTAAATGATACGGGTTTGCGGATGTAAAGAGGCATCCTGGTTGCATTTGCAGTTGTAGCCTGATGGTTCAGGTTTAAATTCTTTAGCCAAGCACATAAGGCGGATTTTCTCGATGCATCACGTGATACGTTCATCAAGCGATTATGTTTTTGTATGGCTTCAGACATATCCCGCAACCAAATGTTTTTCATACGCTCGACAAAGAACGTCCTCACTTTGCTGTCAGTGGGTTGCCCACAATCTCGAAATCGTCCACGCAAACAGAATGGACATGACTTTGGCCCCTCTAGGTCATCTAGGAGGATAGGAAATAGTCAGTTTAGACTGGATTTCCGGGCTAAATTGTCATACGCTGAAAGTAGTTCACATTCAGTCCGTTCTACTTTTACATGTTTTTGTTAGCCAAGCCTTCATTTATCTCAGATTGGTACAGGAAGTTCGAAGCCTCTCGATCATGGTCAGCAGTATCCGCTGAGGTGCTGAATCGGACAATGCACCATTTAGTCTGAAGCCTCCCGAAGCTACCCATTTTAACCGATTTAACCTTCATCGCGCTTCTCCACAAAGAGCAGTCTTCTCTTGTGTTTCGTTGCATGGTGGAAAAGTGCCATATGTGCTAAGCCTGCTTTTGCACACACGTCCATTGCTTCATGGCACTATCCTCCCGTTCGTTCCGGTTGTCCCTGGAACGCTCGCTTCCTGGATTTTTCTGCTAGAAACTTTCATAGAAAACTCCACGACTAGAGCTCCACTTAAACATTTTCCAGTCTCGTTTTTGTGCAAATGATTTATGACTACTTGTTGAAGCGAAATGAACCCATACACGCTTGTACCATCATGGACCTGGTCAGAAACTTTTCGGGGAAACCTCTTTGATAATATCCTTTTACCCATTTTCGCAATGACAAGTGGCATCCGAGCAGCATTACCAGCTCAGACAGGAATTAAGGCAACCAAAACATTCCGTTCGGGACCCGAAGACTTATCAAAGCGTACCGAACTCTGAATCAGGATTCCCGTCAAACTCATTAAGGTGACGAGCCACTGTAGTTCCTAAATCTCCTGCTTGCACTGCTGGTATCGAACACCACCCAACCACAATTACGGGGCTCAACACTAATTTGTTTCCTTTGCAATTATTACCAGCCGAAACACTAGTATTTCAATAACTAATATCTAAGCAATTGCCAAAAAAGTAAAGTGGCGCGATGGAGTGTCACTAATGTAGTGAAAATCCATAGTACATTGGGGTCATAACATGCTTTTTGGAGCTCCCCGTACGAAGAAGCTGAATCCCACGAGGAGGAAGACCTGCATTGCTTTGACTCTGGTGCGCCTTAAAACATGTAGAAACTGTGTGACACCGAAGTCTCAATTTAGAGGTTAGGCCAACGGCATGTAGCCAATCCCCTCAGAAGCTCGTCCAGTTTCCGCGTTTCAAGCGAGATCCCTGCAAAGCATTTTGGTGGAAGCTTTATGGAAAGGAAAGGAGTGTGTTGCAGCTTACTAGGGTAATCGCATCAGTAGGTAACCCTGCGGATTAGACGTTCATTTTGCATCTGGACATCCAATTAAAGCTGTGATCCTGTGAGACACCAATGTACTGCAGCCACTGAGTAAGCTGACGCATTTTTCACAATATCAGCGTCCATAGAAGCAATCAATGCAAAAATTGAAACTTTACGCTCATACCTTGGCTTTGTCCTACCTTTGCGGATTTCCTTGGTCAACCCAAAAAATCCGATGCTTAAACAATTGCACATCACAACCCAATGGCCCTAATTATGACGTCCGTTAGGGAGCTACCCAAAAACCAGAGTATGTTGGGCCAATGATATCAGGGCACTGTCGAACACAGTTTAATGGAGCATCCGCAATTACTCCCTTCATATTCCTGACTGGGCCTCTCTCTCGCCCGTTCGATGAACTGCAAATAGGGACAAAAGCTGCCTCGTATCAGCCGCCTCTAGGACGCCCTTATTGAAATCTGCCGAAATTTTCGATAGGATTTAAACAGTTTGGTGAAATTTTGGTCTTCGTTTTCCAAAAAGTCAACAGTTTTCTGCACAGATCGCGTTCCGGTTTGTGCGTTGTCATCCACTCGCTCTTCCGAAAAAGTCTACGCCCGTCTCCACCACAACACCAACACGGGTGAGATTCCCCAATTAAAATGTACAACATGATTCTGAGGTTCTCGCTAACATCTATCCGCGTTGCGAAACCCACCAATTCAATATACGCATTTAAGTTTATTGACGGACCAGCCATGGACTCAAGAGCACGAGGCCGCTCAATAGAAGCACACACTCAATTTGCCATAGTAGGTGACATTGACCATAGTTATGAGTATGAATGGTCGTTTTTCTCCATTAGATCGGGTTCATGGGAATAGTTGAGGCCCAGTGCTCAGTGGTGCACATAAACACAGGCCTACCAATTACAATGAGTTATGAAGCTAGGCGATATCGACTACAGTTACGAGTATGACGGCCAGTCATTAGCCGTTAAATTAGGATAGCACGCACCGTTAGGGCCACATTTTTATTGAACTGCGTAGATACTGGTCGAGTGTTTACACTAGACAACGGACTAAGCAAGAGCACCCACACTTATGGGCATGACGGGCAATCTTTGGCAGTTAAACTTGGACACTGTGCACAGTTTAGACAATAATCGCACATAGACGCGGGCTTAGCGGTTACAAGAAATATTCGAGATGACTATTAGTATAAGGGCCCGTCGTTGGTCATTGGATTAAGCTGTCGTGCATAGTTGAGGCCCCATAGTCAGCACCACACAGAGAAACGGACCAAACAGTTACGATAAGTGGTCGTGATGAGTGCCAAATATGCATCTTTATCACAGCGACGGCTTTATGGCCGGCACCACCCATGGAGGCCAGCGGCTAAAAGCACAATGCATTTTTCTGTAAAAGCCCTGGGGGCGAAATGAAAACTTTAACGTCAAAATGTTGCACTTCTTTGCATATATGCGTGGACCAAAAACCACCCTCATCTGCTGTCATTTTTTTGCGATTTGTTTTATTCGATCTCTTTTGAAAATTATTGGCGCACATTCGGCTCTGAATCTCGTCTGCTATGGCTTCGGAGGTGGCTTTCGTTGAGAAATTTGTGGGTGTATCGTTTTCATCCTTCACGGCATTCGAGAAGACCTTAAATGTATACATGAAGGATAACTTTGTGATATTTGTGCTTTCATCCAGTAATCGAAGCACCAACACTATTTTGCGTTACGAACGGGTGTACTACAAATGCAGCAGGCGCCCTCCAAGAAAAACAGAAAGCCGTGGAATCCGAAGAAGCTAGTAAGCCGAGCGTATTTTCTAATAAAAAAGTACGCGAAGCACCAGCTGCCCAGTGCGGTTTTATCTACGGAGGCAACTGGAGGTAACCTCTTATTTTCTGGAACACGACCACAAACTGTCAAACTTTCTGTACGATCGGCTTCCAGTCAATCGACGCCTAACAGAAGACGAGTTGGGAACATGCTAGGCCCTGCTGAGATATGGCCCGCCGTCATCTGATGTGCGGCAGTTTGTCCTGAGATATGGCCGTCATCTGATGTGCGGCAGTTTGTCGCGGATGAATCCGGAAAGATTCTTACAACTAAGGACGTACACAACTACCGCCCGCCGGATCGACCGGCTATGTTGAGTAGGTGCCGAATGGTTGGG